GGGGGAGCACAATCAGCTCCAGGCACATTCCTTATCTCTCTCCCCCACCACCACCTCCTCCTCTCTCTGCCCCACCTCCTCCTCCTCTCTCTCTAGTTGGAGGGACGATGCATGTCTGTCTGTCTCTCTGTGTCTGTGTCTCAGTGTCTATGTCTGTGTCTCTCTGTGTCTGTCTCTGTCTCTCTGTGTCTCTGTGTGTCTCTGATGGTTATCATCATCACCTGGGGGAGCACAATCAGCTCCAGGCACATTCCTCACCGCTCTCTCCCCACCACCACCTCCTCCTCTCTCTCCCCACCACCACCACCTCCTCCTCTCTCCCCACCACCCCCTCCACCTCCTCTCTCCCCACCACCACCTCCTCCTCTCTCCCCACCACCTCCTCCTCCACCTCCTCCTCCACCACCACCTCCTCCTCCTCTTTCCCCACCACCACCACCCTCCTCCTCCTCCGCCTCCTCCTCCTCTCTCTCCCCACCACCTCCTCCACCTCCTCCTCCTCTCTCTCTTCACCACCACCACCTCCACCACCACCACCTCCTCCTCTCTCTCCCCACCACCTCCTCCACCTCCTCCTCTCTCTCTTCACCACCACCACCTCCACCACCACCTCCTCCTCTCTCTCCCCACCACCTCCTCCACCTCCTCCTCTCTCTCTCTTCACCACCACCACCACCACCTCCACCACCACCTCCTCCTCCTCTCTCCAGTTGGAGGGACGTAGTGGAGAGAGCGATACGGAATGTGCCTGGAGCTGATTGTGCCCCCAGGTGACGATGATAACCATCAGAGACACGTACTCCTTGGTTTTTTCGGTAAAGTCACGACGGTAAAAAATGTAAATAAATTAAATGACGACGTTTCAGGCGCTACACAAGCATCCTTCTTCAGGTGGGAACAACCAAGCGAAAGCACAAACGCTTAAGTCACGTAGAAGAGAAATAAAAGAATAAAAATAAAACACATTTTATTTTATTATTTCCCTTCTATGTGACTTTACCGAAAGAACCAAGAAGATGAATCCTTGCAGTCACGAAAGCTTTACATCGAAATTTAAACGCTTAAGTGTGTCTCAGAGGTGGCTGTGACGAGTGATTATATAGTCGTGGGGGGCTGGGGGAGGGGGCATGGTGAGTGTGGGGGGGGGGGGGGGCTGGATATGTTTATAAAATTAAATCTAAACTAGCTCTTAGTTTTTTCGGTAAAGTCACGTAGGTAAAAAAATGAAATAAAATTTATAAAAAATAAAATGATAAAAATCACGACGTTTCGGATTTACTGTATCAGAAATCTGGCTGTGACAGTCCCACCTGATGACGGAGACTTGTGTTGCCTCCGAAACGTCGTGATTTTATCATTTTATTTTTATTAATTTTAATTTCATTTTTTTACCTACATGGTGACTTTACCGAAAAAACTACAAGTATGAATCCTTGCAGTCACGAAAGCTTCAAATCTAGAATCTAAACTAGCTGTTTAACGGTAAACTGCACGGCAGTTAAAGTTTAACTTGGTTAATTACATCCTTCCACTAATTGCTCAATTTGAATCCATCATCTCGGTTGAAGCTACGTCTATGTTTGCGTATCTCGGTGGCTTCATGGATGCACAAGCTAAATAAGTATAATCCGTAAAAACAAAGTTTTTCACTCTAAATCCTTTATATGCGTGGCGGCTAGAGTCCTCTCGTCCTCTGGCTTGAGATGGCTGCCACCTATGGGTCAGATGATTGTCTGCAGTATTAAGCAATTGGTAATTAAATATTTACTTTGTTTTCCCTAAACAGTGTAAAATTTTGGTAATTTTTTTTCACGAAAATTAATTGTCACGCACAACGAGTCTGTGTGCAAAATGTCAGCTCGATTGGATCACGGGAAGTGAATTAAAAAACGACCGAAAGATTTGCACGGTCGTAAGCAAGCAAGCAAGCACGCAAGCAAGCAAGCAAGCAAGCGAACTTAATATAAAGGATTTAAAAAGACAAAAACAACAGCGTGTGGTAATGGTGATGGTAGTGTGTGAAGCTGGGGATATGGATATGTTTATGACAATAAAATCTAAACTGGCTGTCTAGCAGTAAACTGCACGGCAGCTAAAGTTTAACTTGATTATCTTCTTGGTTCTTTCGGTAAAGTCACGTAGAATGGAAATAATAACAATAAAACATAATCAAATAATTCTCACGACGTTTCGGCCACAACGCAAGCAGCCGTCCTCAGGTGAAGAACAGGTCTGTCGAGAAGACAGAGTCTGAATTCAGACTCTGAATTATTTTATTATGTTTTATTTTTATTATTTTATTATTTTCATTCTACGTGACTTTACCGAAAGAACCAAGAAGATGAATCCCTGCAGTCACGAAAGCTTTAAATCGAAATTTAACTTGGTTAATTACATCCTTCCACTAATTGCTCAATCCGAATCCATCATCTCGGTTGAAGTGATGTCCATGTTTGTATATCTGGACTAGCTGTACTACCCGGCTTCGCCCGGGACTTGTATCCACCACGCCCGGCCGCCTTTGTCTCCCCAGTGGCGATGTTAATACGCCACACCAGTTACTCGTTTTGAGGCTGAGTCCCTCCCTCACCAATCTCCCTCCCTCACCACTCTCCCTCCCTCACCACTCTCCCTCCCTCACCACTCTCCCTCCCTCACCACTCTCCCTCCCTCACCACTCTCCCTCCCTCACCACTCTCCCTCCCTCACCACTCTCCCTCCCTCACCACTCTCCCTCCCTCACCACTCTCCCTCCCTCACCACTCTCCCTCCCTCACCACTCTCCCTCCCTCACCACTCTGTAGAGGACGTGAAACTTTGATGAATTTACCTCAGAGTCGCGTGGTGGGTGTCGAGGCCTAGCGCCGTGCAGAGCCTCCGGCCTCGCCTGATTTTCCCACCCGGCTGAGGCTGGGTACGGGTGCCGTCCCCCCCCCCCCCCCCCGCGCTACAATAATACTGTCGAATCGCTATAATTTTATAATCTACCGACCCTATAATAGTAATTGCACACATTGTGGTGCGGGGGGAGTGAAGAGGACGTGAAACTTTGATGAATTTACCTCAGAGTCGCGTGTTAATGCGTGCGCCTATTTTGAACGGGAATTAAAAATGGCGTCCACCCTGCGGCGAAGGCGTCGCTACCCGTTGCCAGGGGCAACCGGCGTCCAATGAAAGCGGCGAAGGCGTCGCTACCCGTTGCCAGGGGCAACCGGCGTCCAATGAAACTGCGTATGGTCCGGCGACACACAGACACACACACAGACAGACAGATTCGCGATTTTATATATATAGATGGCTTCATGGACAAATCTTTGGTAGTAACCTGGAGGTTTACAGAGTACACAGACAGAGACACAGAGACACAGAGACACGCACGGAGACACAGACACAGAGACAGAGACACAGAGACACGCACGGAGACAGACACAGAGACACAAAGACACGCACGGAGACACAGACACAGAGACACAGAGTACACAGACAGAGACACAGACAGAGACACAGAGACACGCACGGAGACACAGACACAGAGACAGAGACACAGAGACACGCACGGAGACAGACACAGAGACACAAAGACACGCACGGAGACACAGACAGAGACACACACAGACACAAAGACACGCACAGAGACACAGAGACACAGAGACACGCATGGAGACAGAGACACACAAAGACACGCACAGAGACACAGAGACACAGACACTGAGACAGACACAGACACACAGACAGGGTCTAGGCCCCCCCCCCCCCCCCCCAGAAAAAAAAAATTAAAAACAAATTTCCTGCCATTTCCTGCCTGAAATCTTTAAAACTCGCTAACACATGGGATGGGCTTTTTATTTATTTATAATAAGGGGCCGTCCATAAATGATGTCACACGATTTTGGACGATTTTTGACCCCCCCCCCCTTCGTCACACGACGTCAGACCCCCCTCCCCTCAAATATGACGTCACAAAGCTCTGCCCCCCACAAAAAAATAAAACGTGCTTCAAATCGGTTGAAACTATTGTCATTGTAGTGCGTATTTAATGTGGCGCTGCACTCTGATGTTGTAGGAGAAAACATTAAAAAGTCTATTTAATTAAGTAGAACGTGTTGTCTGTATTTATACTGGAACCTCTTGGTTACACCAGCCCACAGGGGATTATTGTGTCCGTCCGTCCGTCGTGCAGGGAGGGGCTGGGTGGGGGGGGAGGGGCTGGGTGGGGAGGGTGGGGCTGGGTGGGGAGGGTGGGGAGGGTGGGGCTGGGTGGGGAGGGTGGGGAGGGGCTGGGTGGGGAGGGTGGGGGGGTGGGAGAGGTGGGGCTGGGTGGGGAGGGGCTGGGTGGGGAGGGGTGGGGAGGGGCTGGGTGGGGAGGGTGGGGGGGTGGAAGAGGTGGGGCTGGGTGGGGAGGGGCTGGGTGGGGAGGGGCTGGGTGGGGAGGGTGGGGCTGGGTGGGGGGTGGGAGGAGTGGGGCTGGGTGGGGAGGGGCTGGTCACCCCGTGGTGCCCTTATAAAACTCAACGTTTCACCTACTCACGCCGGCTTGTGCCCGCCCTCACAGTCGGCCATATTTGCGGAATACACCACGCCGCCGTTGACCCTGCAGGCCATTGACCTTGCAACCCGACGTTCCTACCAGCTCCCTCCGCAGGAATGTGTTTTAAAGTTGCGCATTTTGATGTGACGTCACATTTCTCAAACCCCCCCCCCCTCCCCTCCCCCTCGTCACACATCGTCACGAATGTCTGACCCCCCCCTCACCTCACCCTAGGTGCGTGACGTCATTTATGGCCGGTCCTTGGCTCGCATCGTCAAGTTATCGATCACACAAACAACTCCAACGCTCTCTCACCAATACCACCGTGGCCTTTAACAAATAAATGTAACATCCACGGTACGTGCGCGTGTAGATATATAAATAAAACACAAGCGACGTTTCGGACGATAGACCTTTTTTTTAAAACAGCGCTTGGGGCGTCACGAGGGCGTGTTTCAGCTGACCACGCCCATATTCCAGCCAGAGTCGCTCACCCATTGGCTGCCGGTGTCGCACAAGCCCCTCCTACATCATGCCCATATAAGGCAGACCACGCACCCCCCCCCCCCCGCCCCGAGCTGTCCACGACCCCAATCTGACCCCGGCCCCCGACTGTTACACCTGGCCCCGCCCCCACGAAGCCCCGCCCCCATCCCCCGGCCCCACTGGCCACGCCCACATTCCCCCTGGCCCCTCCCACATTCCCCCCTGGCCCCTCCCACATTCTCCACCTGGCCCCTCCCCACTCTCCACCTGGCCCCTCCCCACTCTACACCTTGCCCCTCCCCACTCTACACCTGGCCCCTCCCCACTCTACACCTGGCCCCTCCCCACTCTACACCTGGCCCCTCCCCACTCCCCACCTGGCCCCTCCCCACTCTACACCTGGCTCCTCCCACATTCCCCCCTGGCCCCTCCCACATTCTCCACCTGGCCCCTCCCCACTCTACACCTGGCCCCTCCCCACTCTACACCTGGCCCCTCCCCACTCCCCACCTTGCCCCTCCCCACTCTACACCTGGCCCCTCCCCACTCTACACCTGGCCCCTCCCCACTCTACACCTGGCCCCTCCCCACTCCCCACCTGGCCCCTCCCCACCTCTACACCTGGCTCCTCCCACATTCCCCCCTGGCCCCTCCCACATTCTCCCCCTGGCCCCTCCCCACTCTACACCTGGCCCCTCCCCACTCTACACCTGGCCCCTCCCCACTCCCCACCTGGCCCCTCCCCACTCTACACCTGGCCCCTCCCCACTCTACACCTGGCCCCTCCCCACTCTACCACCTGGCCCCTCCCTCATTCCCCACCTGGCCCCTCCCCACTCTACACCTGGCCCCTCCCCACTCCCCACCTGGCCCCTCCCCACTCTACACCTGGCCCCTCCCCACTCTACACCTGGCCCCTCCCCACTCTCCACCTGGCCCCTCCCCACTCTACACCTGGCCCCTCCCCACTCTACACCTGGCCCCTCCCTCATTCCCCACCTGGCCCCTCCCCAACTCCCCCACCTGGCCCCTCCCCCCACTCTACACCTGGCCCCTCCCCACTCTACACCTGGCCCCTCCCCACTCTCCACCTGGCCCCTCCCCACTCTACACCTGGCCCCTCCCCACTCTACACCTGGCCCCTCCCACATTCCCCACCTGGCCCCTCCCCACTCTACACCTGGCTCCTCCCACATTCCCCACCTGGCCCCTCCCCACTCTACACCTGGCCCCGCCCTCACCTGAGCGGTGAGTGAGTTGCGCGTGGCGAGTCGAAGGCGTCCGCTGGTTTTGGGGGGGTCCACACCGCCCCCCACCCCTCACCCCCCCCGTTAATTACCGTAATTACCGTAATCACCGCAGTCGTCGTGGTCATTAGCGGGGTGCTGGTGGTGGTTGTGGTGGTGAGGGGGGCCACTGGGGAAGTGAGGAGCAGCGACTACAACGAGGAATACGGTAACGGGTTGGCGATTTGCACTTCATGCTGTTGATGCTGTTGATGCTGTTGTTGCTGTTGTTGTTGTTGCTGCTGCTGTTGTTGTTGTTGCTGTTGTTGTTGCTACTGTTGTTGTTGTTGCTGTTGTTCCTGTTGTAGTTGTGAACCGGTCCTGGGCCTCCCCTAGGTCGACTCAGCCTCAAATGAGTGCCTGGTGCGGTGGTGTGTCGTAAGCAGCGCCAACTGGGGAGACAAAGGCGGCCGGGCGTGGTGTTGGCCACCCACCCCCTCGTGTGCCACAGTGCCGGTAGCCTTCATAGGTGCGGCTCGCTAACAGCACTTGCCCCTACAGCCTGTTAGAGGCTACACGGGGGACCTTCGTCTGTGTGTCTATAGCTGCTAGCTCGCTACTCACAGCACTTGCCCCTACATCCTGTTAGAGGCTACACGGGGGACCTTTGTCTGTGTGTCTGTAGCTGCTGCTCGCTTCTAACAGCACTTGCATGCACGGTCGTTATGTCACGTGGGACTCTTTGAGCTTATAGTAGTGTAGTGTGTAGTAGTGTATAGTGTAGTGTAGTTTGTAGTAGTGTATAGTGTAGTGTATAGTAATTGTAGCGTATAATAATGTATCGTTTAGTAGTGTATAGTGTAGTGTATAGTGTAATGTATAGTGTAGGCCGTAGGGTATAGTAGTGTATAGTAGTGTAGTGTATAGTAGTGTAGTGTATAGTGTAGTGTATAGTGTAGTGTATAGTGTAGTGTATAGTAGTGTAGTGTGTGTAGTGTATATTAGTGTAGTGTATAGTAGTGTAGTGTATAGTAGTGTAGTGTATAGTAGTGTATAGTAGTGTAGTGTATAGTGTAGTGTATAGTAGTGTAGTGTATAGTAGTGTATAGTAGTGTAGTGTATAGTAGTGTAGTGTATAGTAGTGTAGTGTATAGTAGTGTAGTGTATAGTAGTGTAGTGTATAGTAGTGTATAGTGTAGTGTATAGTGTAGTGTATAGTGTAATGTATAGTGTAGGGTATAGTAGTGTATAGTGTAGTGTATAGTAGTGTGTAGTTTATAGTAGTGTATAGTAGTGTAGTGTATAGTAGTGTAGTGTATAGTAGTGTATAGTGTAGTGTATAGTAGTGTAGTGTATAGTAGTGTAGTGTATAGTGTAGTGTATAGTAGTGGAGTGTATAGTGTAGTGTGTAGTGTATAGTGTAGTGTATAGTAGTGTAGTGTGTAGTGTATAGTAGTGTAGTGTGTAGTGTATAGTGTAGTGTATAGTAGTGTATAATGTAGTGTATAGTAGTGTAGTGTATAGTAGTGTAGTGTATAGTAGTGTAGTGTATAGTGTAGTGTATAGTAGTGGAGTGTATAGTGTAGTGTGTAGTGTATAGTGTAGTGTATAGTAGTGTAGTGTGTAGTGTAGTGTGTAGTGTATAGTGTATAGTAGTGTATAATGTAGTGTATAGTAGTGTAGTGTATAGTAGTGTAGTGTATAGTAGTGTAGTGTATAGTAGTGTAGTGTATAGTAGTGTAGTGTGTGTAGTGTGCTCACACGCCAGTCGCACATCCGTCTGTCTCGACGGCACTGCCTCGCTAGACGAGCCGGCACGCTGTCTGGCTCGCGGCATCTAAGGTAGCCGAGACGGCTGAGACGAACCGTGGACACGGCGAGGGGATCCACTTCCTGCGACAGCCCCAAGCCCCCCCCAGTCCCGGGACCCTCCTTTTATCCTCCTGGCGTGGCCTCGCCCCGCCCTTGCCACGCCCCTTTTCTAGAACATTACCGTCAGCTTTTTGGGCTTCCAGATCGATGCCTTCCTGGGCTTCCTCCTTCGATCTCCTTCTGCTGACCCGTGTACTGCCCCCTGCTGCCATTACCACTTTCCCGTCAGTAGCCCGCGTTATTACACTACATCACCCCTCCCTCACCCCCGTAAAAAATAAAACCCAGCTGTCCCGGTCGATCTTACAGCAGAGGTCGCAACCGGGTACCCGATACCCGTACCCTACCCGATACCCGGCTACCCGTACCCAGCCGGGTACGGGTACCTGTTTGCGACCCTGGTGCGGCCGGATACGGGTAGGCCGTGAGTCACTGGTGAGTCACCGTTTGTCACTCATTTCCCAACGTCTTGTCTCTTCTCACAATTCAAGTTCCTAGAATCAACCCACCCGCGCCTGCAACATGGCTTCATCCCAGAGGTCGCAATCGGGTACCCGTACTCGTACCATACCCGATACCCGGCCGGGTACGGGTAGCCGGGAATCGGGTAGGGTACGGGTACCCGTTTGCGACCCTGGTGCGGCCGGGTACGGGTAAGGAATCAAAACCCGTTTGTGACCTCTGTCTTACAGTCCGACAAGGAAGGGGAGTTAATACGGAGAGGGGAATTGGACGAGGTTTAGGACTGTGGCTCATGCAGCTGCAATGGCTGCGTTGGGTACACGGTCCAGACCTCCCCAGAGACCCTGGCTGACAGAGGAGGTGTTCAGGATGGTTAAGAATAAGCGACAGGCCCACTCTCATCGGCTACAGCATCCCACGTCGGAGAATGAGGAGGCTTACCGCAGCCTTCGCTCATGGGTTCGGAGAGCCGTGAGGCGCTGCAAGGATGGGTGGTGGTTGCGGGTTGCTGAGGAGATGGAATCTGCCTCAGTGGCCCGCGATCACAAATCGCTCTTTAATTACATCAAAAAAAGTAATTTGCAGCGCCACACCTATTGCCATCATTAGGGGAAAGAAAGTTGATTTAATCTCCGACCCCCAGGAACAGGTTTGCAGATTTGCTGAGCATTTCTGTGAGGTCATGGGGGAGGGGAAATCCCTCAGCCTGGAAAACATCGCGGGACAAAGTGGTGATAACCCTGTTGAGGCTGCGGTGCCTCAAATATTGGAATAAAGTCACCCCCTGTGAGTGGCTGGCTGAGGTGCCATCTGTTGAGTACTGAAGGCGATCCAGAGTCTGAGACCAGGAAAGGTACCGGGCAGAGATGATCTCCCAAGCGAAATGCTGAGGGAGGGTGGCGTTTGTGCACAGACTGCCCTACATGACATCATAATAACAGTCTGGACCACTGGATGAGTTCCGCAGGATTGAAAGGATGCCCTGGTGATCCCCCTCATTAAGAAGGGGGACCGCACAGACTGTAACAATTACAGGGGCATCTCACTCCTCAGTGTGCCGGGAAAGGTCCTGGCAAGGATTATTCAACATCGCCTTGCCAGACACGCTGAGGAGAGGCTTGCGGAGCCCCAATGCAGTATCAGGAAAGGGCGGTCTTGCACAGATGCCATATTTTCTGTCCGTCTGCTACAGCAAAGGTATAGGGAATTCCAACAAGACCTACATCTCTGCTTTATTGACCTGGTCAAGGCCTATGATACCATCAGTAGGCATGGGCTCTGGGTTGTTCTTCGTGCTTTTGGAGTCCCTGACTCTGTTCACAATAATTCAGGACCTTCATGATGGTGAGCAGACTCAGGTAAAACTATGTGGTTGGTAGTCAGAGCCATTCTCTGTTGACCTCCAGGTGCGACAGGGATGTCCTCTGGCTCCCACATTATTTAACATCTATTTCAGCCTGATCGATGCCGATGATCTGGTAATTGCTGGTTACTCAGAGGAGGAATTGGAGGCACTGCTTCTGAACTTGGAGCTTGCCACTAAAAGGTGGTGCCTTACCATCAGCCTCACCTTAACGAAGCACCTGCCTGGATATTTTGTACCATCGGACACTCCACCCCCACAACTCCCAATTGGAGATGGGGCAGTTGTGGAGGGAGTGGAGATTTTCCCATACCCGGGCAGTGTGCTCATGACCGGCTCCGGTTTAACAGCAGAGTTCTCGCTCCAAATCAGTCGAGCGGCATTATCTTTTCATCGGTTGCATAACGCTGTGTGGAAGCTACCTGGTCTGTCAACAACGGGCAGAGCGCCCGGTGGCTAAAGCACAGCAAGTTGGCACAGTAGGGGGCACAGGTGGTGCATCAGCCACTCATCTCAGTCGGTCGACCCGTGGCACCTGCTGGGTCTGCCCCGTGACCTCCTGGTACACCTAGCCTGGCACAGCAGGGGGCACAGGTGGTGCATCGGCCACTCATCTCAGTCGGTCGACCCGTGGCACCTGCTGGGTCTGTCCCGTGACCTCCTGCCAGCGGGCGTTCGACACTTCACGTGGCCTCAACGTGCACCTAGCCTGGCACAGGCATCGTGGTGATGTCACGAATGGCGGTTGTTGTTGTTGTTGTTTGCATCTCATTTGTGTGTGTGTCTCAGCTGTGTGTGTGTCTCAGCTGTGTGTGTGTCTCGGCTGTGTGTGTGTCTCAGCTGTGTGTGTGTGTGTATCACCTGTGCAGGGCAGGTGTGGTGAACATGGCTGCCCCCCCACAGCTACAGGAGCTGGAGAGTTCCCTCCTGTATCGGAGGAGACACAAACACGGCGATGTGGCGGAGGAGCGGCCCAGCCTCGTGTGAGAGCTCACACTCACCTGTGTCTCACCTGAGCCTCTGTCTCTCACCTGTGTTTGTGTGTCTCTGTCTCACCTGGGCCGCTGTCTCACCTGTGTGTGTGTCTCTGTCTTACCTGTGTCTCTGTGTGTGTCTCAGCTGTGTCTGTGTCTATCACCTGTGTCTATCTATTATCTCTGTGCATCTCCCCATGTCTCTCCGTGTCCCCCGTATCTCCCCCTCCCCCGTGTCTCCCCCCCTGTGTCCCCCCCCCGTGTCTCCCCCCCCCCGTGTCCCCCCCCCCCCGTGTCCCCCCCCCCGTGTCTCCCCCCCCCCCCCGTGCCTCCCCTCCCGTGTCTCCCCCCCCCCGTGTCTCCCCCCCCCGTGTCTCCCCCCCCCCGTGTCTCCCCCCCGTGTCTCCCCCCCGTGTCTCCCCCCCGTGTCTCCCCCCCCCGTGTCTCCCCCCCCCCGTGTCTCCCCTCCCGTATCTCCCCTCCCGTATCTCCCCTCCCCGTGTCTCTCCCCCCCCCCCGTGTCCCCCCCCCCCGTGTCTCCCCCCCCCCCGTGTCTCCCCCCCCCCATCCCCCCCTCCGTGTCTCCCCCATATCTCCCACATGTCCCCCACGTCTCCCCCCCCACGTCTCCCCTATGTCCTTCCCCACCCTCCATATCTCACCGTGCACCCCCCCCATACCCCCCCTCCCCCCCCGTGTCCAGTGGAGGACCCCCAGGGTCTGCTGCTGCTGCTGCTGCTGCGTGTGGGTTGTGCTCCCTGCCACTGGAGCCGGCCTCTCCACTCGTGGCGTCCATGGGGCGCCTCTTCCACCCCCGCTGCTTCGTGTGCGCCCAGTGCTTCCAGACCTTCCCAGACGGACTCTTCTACGAGGTCACGCCGTGATGGGGGGGGGGGGGGGGGTCACGCGGGGGGGTGGGGCGTGGGGGTCACGCGGGGGGGTGTGGGGGTCACGGGGAGAGAGACGCGGGGAGAGACACGGGGAGAGACGCGGGGAGACATGAGGGGAGACATGGGGAGACGTGGGGAGAGGCACTGGGAGACATGGGGAGAGACGCGGGGAGAGACGCGGGGAGAGATACGGGGAGACGTGGGGAGAGACACGGGGAGAGACGCGGGGAGACATGAGGGGAGACATGGGGAGACGTGGGGAGAGGCACTGGGAGACACGGGGAGAGACACGGGGAGAGACGCGGGGAGAGACACGGGGAGACACGGGGAGACACGGGGAGAGACACTGGGAGATGCGGGGAAAGACACGGGGAGACGTTGGGAGACACTGAGAGACATGGGGATAGAGACGGAGAGAGACATGGGGAGAGATATGGAGGACAAACGGGGAGACACGGGGGACATCCATTTCTGTTACAATAATGTTTGTCTGTGCGGTGTCTGTGTGGTGTCTGTGCGGTGTCTGTGTGGTGTCTGTGTGGTGTCTGTGCGGTGTATCTGTGGTGTCTGTGCGGTGCAGTTCGAGGGGAGGCGATACTGTGAGCACGATTTCCAAATGCTCTTTGCTCCGTGCTGCGGAGAGTGCGGTACGGAGAGACACGGGGAGACACTCGGAGACACGGGGAGACACGGGGAGACACGGAGACTCACTGAGACACACGGGGAGACACGGGGAAGCACGGAGAGACACGGGTAGACACGGGAGACACGGGGAAATAGGGACACACGGGGAGACACGGGGTCTCACTGGGAGACACGGGGAGACATGGGGACACACCGGGAGACACGGGGAGACACTGGGAGACACGGAGAGACACGGGGAGACACGGGTCTCACTGGGAGACACGGGGAGACATGGTGACACACGGGGAGACACGGTGACACACGGGGAGACACGGAGAGACACGGGGAGACACGGGGACACACCGGGAGACACGGGGAGACACGGGGAGACACGGGGACACACGGTGACACACGGGGAGACACACAGTGACACGGGAGACACGGGGAGACACGAGGAGACACGGGGAGACACGGGGAGACACGGGGAGACACGATGAGACACGAGGAGAAACGGGGAGACACGGTGTAGTCATGGTAACACACGGAGACACACGGGGAGACAATGTTATATAACGACGCCACACCATTGTTCTGATCACGTGACTACGACGACGCCATTGTTATGATCACGTGACTATAACGACGCCATTCTGATCACGTGACTATAACGATGCCATTGTTCTGATCACGTGACTACGACGGCGCCATTGTTCTGATCACGTGACTATAATCACGTGACTATAACCACGTGACTATAACGACGTCGCTATTGCCGCCGCCGCCGCAGGGGAGTTCATAGCGGGCCGTGTGATTCGTGCTGCGGGCAGCGCCTGGCACCCGGCCTGCTTCTCCTGCCGGCGCTGCCGCTCCCCGCTGGCGGACGCCGGGTTCGTGCGCGCCGACGGCAGGTGGGAGCACGCTTCCAGCGCGCTTCCAGCTTCCCGCTCAGCCGCTTCCAGCTTCCCACTCGCTTCCAGCTTGCTTCCAGCTTCCCACGTGCTTCCCACTCACTTTTCACTCGCTTCCCTCTTGCCGTTTCCTGCTTGTCGCTTCCCACTCGCTCCCCACTCGCTTCCAGCTTCCCACTCGCTTCCCACTCGCTTCCAGCTCGCTTCCAGCTCGCTTCCAGCTTCCCACTCGCTCCCCACTCGCTCCCCACTCGCTTCCAGCTCGCTCCCCACTCGCTTCCAGCTTCCCACTCGCTCCCCACTCGCTTCCCACTCGCTCCCCACTCGCTTCCAGCTCGCTCCCCACTCGCTTCCAGCTTCCCACTCGCTCCCCACTCGCTTCCCACTCGCTCCCCACTCGCTTCCAGCTCGCTTCCAGCTTCCCGCTCGCTCCCCACTCGCTCCCCACTCGCTTCCAGCTTCCCACTCGCTCCCCACTCGCTTCCCACTCGCTCCCCACTCGCTCCCCACTCGCTTCCCACTCGCTCCCCACTCGCTTCCCACTCGCTCCCCACTCGCTATGTATATATGTGTGTGTATATGTATATATATGTGTGTGTGTGTTCGGGTGGTCTCGCCGCTCCCAGCAACCTGTGCCACTCGTGTGGTGAGGATATGTATATATATATGTGTGTGCATGTATGTGTATATATGTGTATGTATATGTATATATATGTGTGTGTGTGTGTGTGTTGTCGGGTGGTCTCGCCGCTCCCAGCAACCTGTGCCACGCGTGTGGTGATGAGCAGCGGTGGCGAGGCTCCCAGCGCCACCGCTGCCACCGCTGCCACCGTTCCATCGACGAAGAGCCCCTCTTGGTGGGCGGAGAGCCTCACCACGCTCACCACTTCAACTGCTCCCAGTGTGGGTGAGCGTACACACACACACACCTACACACACCTACACACACACACCTACACATACACCTACACACACACCTACACACACACACCTACACACACGAGCCTCACCACGCTCACCACTTCAACTGCTCCCAGTGTGGGTGAGCGTACACACACACACCTACACACACCTACACACACACACCTACACATACACCTACACACACACCTACACACACACACCTACACACACGAGCCTCACCACGCTCACCACTTCAACTGCTCCCAGTGTCGGTGAGCGTACACACACACACCTACACACACCTACACACACACACCTACACATACACCTACACACACACCTACACACACACACCTACACACACGAGCCTCACCACGCTCACCACTTTAACTGCTCCCAGTGTGGGTGAGCATACACACACACACCTACACCTACACACACACCTACACACACACACCTACACACCTACACACACGAGCCTCACCACGCTCACCACTTTAACTGCTCGCAGTGTGGGTGAGCATACACACACCTACACCTACACACACACACACCTACACACAACAACAACAACCGCCGTTCGCCACTAAGTGGCGGTGACGTCACCACGACGCTTGTGCCAGGCCAAGTGCACCTTGAGGCCACGTGAAGTGTCGAACACCCGCTGGCAGGAGGTCACGGGGCAGACCCAGCAGGTGCCACGGGTCGACTGACCGAGATGACCGAGATGACTGGCTGATGCACCACCTGTGCCCCCTACTGTACCAACTTGCTGTGCTTTAGCCACCAGGCGCTCCGCTCGTTGTTGTGAGTGTCGCTCCTCCGCCCTCCGTTGTTGTTGGAGGGCGACTGCCTCCAACTGCCCAGTAGCGTCCTTCACGAGCCTCCTCCACTGAGGCCGATCTTGACACCGCTGGTACCAGTCATCGGCAAGTCCACTCAGCTCCACGTCCTCCAGTACCACATCACTCCATCTCCTCTCTAGCCCGTGCCGCGCCAGTTTAGCCCCCTCGATCCGGCCGAACAAAATCTGTTTAGGCATGCGGTGGCTGGGCAGGCGGGCTACATGACCCAGCCAACGCAGCCTTGCCTGCCGGAGGAGCTTACCGATGGGACTTTGCCCAGATCTTTTAAGGATTTGTGAGCTCCTCACACAATCCAGCCTGGTTAAACCCAGGATGGATCGTAGGCTGGCCAGCCTAAATGTTTCCACACGTACACACACACACGTACACACACACACCTACACACACACACAAAAGATAACAAAGATCCCCCGTATAGCCTTCACAGACTGTAGGGGCAAGTGCTGTTAGCGAGCACCTATGAAGGCCAGAACGGTACACGAGGGGGTGGGTGGCCAGCACCACGCCCGACCGCCTTTGTCTCCCTAGCGGCGATGTTTACACATCGCACCAGGTACTCATTTGAGGCTGAGTTGACCTAGGGGAGGCCCAGGACCGGTTCAAATAATCGTCACTGGTGTTTGCCGTGAGCGGGAATCGAACCCGTGTCGCCAGGTTCGTAGCGCAGCGCGCTAACCACTACACTACCGCTCCCCACCTCCACCACCACACACACACACACCTACACACACATGTACACACACACACCTACACACACATGTACACACACACACCTACACACACACGTACACACACACACGTACACACACACACCTACACACACACGTACACACACACATAAACCAGGCGAGGTAGTCAACATCTCCTAGTGATGATGCTGCACCACCGCTTCCAACCACCACCACCACCACCGCCATCACCACCGCCTCCACCACCATCACCGCCATCTCCATCACCACCATCACCGCCATCTCCACCACCACCATCATCTCCACCACCTCCACTACCATCTGCACCACCTCCACCACCACCACCTCCATCACCATCTCCACCACCTCCACCACCACCACCACCTCCATCACCACCATCTCCACCACCACCACCACCATCTCCACCACCACAACCATCTCCACCACCACCTCCATCACCATCTCCACCACCACCACTACTACCTCCATCACCACCAGGAACACCACCACCACCACCATCTCCACCACCACCAGCTCTACCACTACCTCCTCTACCACCACCACCACCGTCAGCTTGACGTCTACGCGTCTGCATGTGTGGGGTTGTGGTGGCGATGGTGGTGAGTGGGGGTGGTGGTGGTGAGTGGCGGTGGTGGCGGTGGTGAGCAGTGGTGGCGATGGGTGGTGGTGGTGGTGGTGAGTGGTGGTGAGCGGGGGTGGCGGTGGTGAGTGGTGGTGAGTGGCGGTGGTGGCGGTGGTGAGCAGTGGTGGCGATGGGCGGTGGTGGTGGTGAGTGGTGGTGAGCGGGGGTAGCGGTGGTGAATGGTGGTGCTGGTGGTGAGTGGTGGTGGTGGTGGTGAGCGGTGGTGGTGGTGAGTTGCGGTGGTGAGCGGCGGTGGTGGTGGTGAGCGGTGGTGGTGGTGAGTTGCGGTGGCGAGTGGTGGCAGTGGTGAGCGGTGGTGCTGGTGGTGAGCGGTGGTGGTGGTGAGTTGTGGTGGTGAGTGGGGGTGTTGGTGAGTGGGGCTGGTGGTGGTGAGCAGTGGTGGTAGTGGTGAGTGGCGGTAGCGGTGGATGGTGAGCGGTGGTGGCGGTGAGTGGCGGTGGTGAGTGGGGGTGTTGGTGAGTGGGGCTGGTGGTGGTGAGCAGTGGTGGTAGTGGTGAGCAGCGGTGGTAGTGGTGAGTGGCGGTAGCGGTGGATGGTGAGCGGTGGTGGCGGTGGTGAGTGGGGGTGTTGGTGAGCGGCGGTGGTGGCGGTGAGTGGCGGTGGCGGTGCTGAGCGGCGGTGGTGAGTGGTGGTGGCGGTGAGTGGCGGTGCTGCTGGTGAGCGGTGAGCGTCGGTGGTGGTGTTGGTGAGCGGTGAGCGTCGGTGGTGCTGTTGGTGAGCGGTGATCTCCTCCTCCTCCCCCCGGCAGCAAGGAGCTGAGTGCCGGTGCGGCGCGTGAGGCTCCCGGCGTCGCCGCGGGGCCGCTGCTGCTGTGCCTGCCATGCCACGACAAGAGCGCCGTGCCCATCTGTGCCGCCTGCCGCAGGCCCGTGGAGGAGCGAGTCGTCAACGCGCTGGGCAAGCAGTGGCACGTGGAGGTGGGGGGGGGTGGTGGGGGGGGTGGTGGTGGTTGACGTGGTGGTGGTGGAGGTGGTGGAGGTGGTGGAGGTGGGGGTGGTGGGGGGTGGTGGTGGAGGTGGTGGAGATGCTGGCAGTGGTGGTGGCGGTAGTTGTGGCTGTGGTGGCAGTGCTGGTAGTGACGGTAGCGGTGGTGGTGGTAGTGGTGGTGGCGGTAGTGGTGGTGGCATTGGCGGTAGCAGTAGCAGTGGCAGAGGTGGTGACAGTAGCGGTGGTAGTGGTGGCGACGGTGGTGGTGATGGTGGTGGCGATGGTGGTGGCGACGTAGTAGTGGCAGTGACGGTAGCGGTGGTGGTGGTGACGGTGGTAACGGTAGCATCAGTGGTTGGTGGTGGCGGTGGCGGTGGTGGTGGTGGCGGTGGTGGCGGTGGTGATGGTGGCGGTGGTGACGGTGGCGGTGGTGACGGTAGCGGTGGTGGTGGTGGTGGCGGTGGTGATGGAGGTTGCGGTGGTGACGGTGGCGGTGGCAGTGACGGTAGCAGTGGTGTTGGTGGCAGTGGTGGTGGTGACGGTGGTGAATGGCGGTGGTGGTGACGGTGGTGACGGTAGCAGCGGTGGTGGTGGTGACGGTGGTGGTGGTGACGGTGGTGACGGTGGCAGCGATGGAGTCCACAGTGACTCCCCCTCCGTTTGCACCACGGCCGTAGCGACGCGTCCACAGTTTAAACAAAAAACAAAACAACGATTTTCATATCTGTGGCCGTGAGAGCTCCGAGCCGCGATGCATTCGGAGCAACGTCCCTGCCGCCTGACTGAGCCGGCCACTAGGTCGACTCAGCCTCAACCGAGTGCCTGGTGTAGCGGTGTGTAGTAAACATCGCAACTGGGGAGACAAAGGCGGCCGGGCGTGGTGCTGGCCACCCACCCCGGTTGCCGGCCTTCGTAGATTCTGCTGCTCACTGTGACAGCACTTGCCCCGACGGTCTGCGAAGGCTACGCGGGTGACCTTTGCATTTGCCTTGGCGGCGTGTGTGCAGCACTTTGTGTGCGCCAGGTGTGAGAAGCCGTTCTTTGGCACCCGCCACTACGAGCGGAGGGGGCTGGCGTACTGCGAGTCTCACTACAACCAGGTGAGTGTGTCGCTACAGGTGAGGCTACAGGTGAGGCTACAGGTGAGGCTACAGGTGAGGCTACAGGTGACACTACAGGTGAGACTACAGGTGAGACTACAGGTGGACTACAGGTGACACTACAGGTGAGACTACAGGTGAGACTACTCACCTGTAGTCTCTACTCACTACAACCAGGTGAGTCTATCACTACAGGTGTTAGACTCACTACAATCAGGTGAGTCGAACACTACAGGTGAGACTACAGGTGTTAGACTCACTACAATCAGGTGAGTCTATCGCTACAGGTGAAACTACAGGTGAGACTACAGGTGTTAGACTCACTACAGGTGTTAGACTCACTACAGGTGTTAGACTCACTACAATCAGGTGAGTCTCACACTACAGGTGAGACTACAGGTGTTAGACTCACTACAATCAGGTGAGTCGAACACTACAGGTGAGACTACAGGTGAGACTACAGGTGAGACTACAGGTGAGACTACTCACCTGTAGTCTCTACTCACTACAACCAGGTGAGGCGAACACTACAGGTGACACTACAGGTGAGGCGAATACTACAGGTGAGACTCACTGCAGGTGATGCCGTGGGACAATGCATTGTAGAAGGATATAGTGTGGTCTAGTAGTATGTAGTGTAGTAGTGTATAATGTAGTGTAGTAGTGTATAATGTAGTTGAGTAGTGTGTAATGTAGTAGTGTATAATGTAGTGGAGTGGTATATAGTAGTGCAGTATGTGCCTCCCCTAGGTCGACTCAGCCTGAAATGAGTACCCGGTGCGGTGTGTAGTAAACATCGCAACTAACAGCACTTGCCCCGACAGTCTGTTAGAGGCTACATGGGGGACCTTTGTCTGTGTGTCTATAGGTGCTGCTCGCTACTCGCAGCACTTTCCCCCACAGCCTGTTAGAGGCTACACAGGTGACCTTTGTCTTTGCGGGGGGGGGGGGGTGAGGGCTAGTCACGTGAGAGGCTGTGTCTGCCCACAGATGTTTGGAGACGTCTGCTACCACTGCAACCACGTCATCGGAGGGGATGGTGAGCCAGCGTCAGAGCACCATCGTCGTCATCATCGTCGTCATCGTCACCATCATCGTCGTTATCGTCATCGTTGTCATTGTCATCATCACTATCGTCATCATCGTCATCATCACCATCGTCATCACACTCACCATCGTCATCGTCATCACACTCACCATCGTCATCGTCATCATCGTCGTTATCATCACCATCATCATCGTCATCATCGTCATTATTACCATCGTCATCGTCGTCATCATCACCATCGTCATCGTCATCATCGTCGCCACTGTGACTACCATCAATAGCATCGTCCCCGTGCGTGTCTCCACGTGTCTCAGTGTCACCGTGTGTCTCCGCGTGTCTCTGATGTCTCAATGTCCCCGCGTGTCTCCACGTGTCTCAGTGTCCCAATGTGTCTCCGCATGTCTCCGCGTGTCTCAATGTTCCCGTGTATCCACGTGTGTCTCCGCGTGTCTCTGCGTGTCCCAATGTCTCCGTGTGTCTCCACGTGTCACAATGTCCCCGTGTTTCTTCATGTGTCTCTGCGTGTCTCAATGTCCTCGCGTGTCTCTGCATGTCTCCGTGTCCCCATGTGTCTACCGCATGTCTCCGCATGTCTCAATGTCCCCGCGTGTCTACCACGTGTCTCAATGTCCCCGCGTGTCTCCACGTGTCTCAGTGGTGTCTGCGCTGAACAAGGCCTGGTGCATCTCCTGCTTCTGCTGCTCCACGTGTAGCACCCGTCTCACGCTCAAGTAAGAGCCTCACGTCATCAGCGACATCGCCATCAGCATCGTCACCATCATAGCAAACGCCATCAGCTTGTCTTCTGGGTGGGCGTTGAATTAACAGCTCCTGACTGTGCCCAGCGATTCCTAGCACTCCTGCCCATTGACCATGCCAGCCGATGCCACGCACAGAGGTCCACAGGCCGACACAGAGACCCACAGGCAGACATGGAGACCCATGGACTCACACAGAGGTCCACATGCTCACACAGAGGCCCACAGTCTCACACAGAGGCCTACAGATTCACACAGAGGCCCACAGTCTCACACAAAAGCCCACAGTCTCGCACAGAGGCCTACAGATTCACACAGAGGCCCACGGACTCACACAGAGGCCCACGGGCTCACACAGAGGCCCACAGCCTCACACAGAGACCCACGGCCTCACACAGATTAACTGATGCGGTGTGTAAACATCGATACTGGAGAGACAAAGGTGGCCCGGTGTGGTGTTGGCCACCCACCCCCTCGTGTGCCACAGTGCCGGCCGTCATAGGTGCTGCAACAGTCTGTTAAGGCTATACGGGGGGGGGGGGGGTTCTTTGTCTTGTGTGGGAAGCAGTAGCACAGTGGTTAGTGGTTAGCGCCACCACCTTACCAAACCTGACGTCCCGAGTTCGAGTCCCGCTCGCGGTCACTGTTAACACCGGTGGCAAATAAACCCGTAGCAAACCCTCGCCACAACACTAGCCCGGTGAAGCCTGTTTGGAAGCCTTACGCATGGGGGGGGGGGGGGGGGGGCGATCTTTGTCTTTGCGCAGGAACCGCTTTGTGGAGTTCGACATGAAGCCCGTGTGCAAGCGCTGCTACGAGAAGTTTCCCCTCGAGATGAAGAAACGCCTCAAGCGCCTCTCGCGCATGGCCGTGAGCAAGTGACGTGACGTTGGGAAGGGGAGGCAACTTCATGGCTGACAAGGGGGGCGACTTTATGGCTGACAAAGGGGGCGACAAGATGGCTGACGAGGGGGGTGACAAGATGGCTGACAAAGGGGGCGACAAGATAGCTGACGAGGGGGGTGACAAGATGGATGATGAGGGGGTGACAAGATGGCTGACGAGGGGGTGACAAGATGGCTGACAAGGGGGTGACAAGATGGTTGACGAGGGGGGCGACAAGATGGATGATGAGGGGGGTGACAAGATGGCTGACGAGGGGGGCGACAAGATGGCTGACAAGGGGGGCGACAAGATGGCTGACGAGGGGAGCGACAAGATGGCTGACGAGGGGGTGACTAGATGGCTGACAAACGGGGCGACAAGATGGATGACGAGGGGGGCGACAAGATGGCTTACAAACGGGGCGACAAGATGGATGACGAGGGGGGCGACAAGATGGATGACAAGGGGGGTGACAAGATGGCTGACAAAAGGGGTGACAAGATGGTTGACGAGGGGGGCGACAAGATGGCTGACGAGGGGGGTGACAAGATGGATGACGAGGGGGGGCGATAAGATGGCTGACGAGGGGGGTGACAAGATGGCTGACGAGGGGGGCGACAAGATGGATGACGAGGGGGGCGACAAGATGGCTGACGAGGGGGGCGACAAGATGGCTGACGAGGAGGGCGACAAGATGGCTGACGAGGGGGTGACAAGATGGCTGACGAGGGGGGTGACAAGTTGGCTGACGAGGGGGGCGACAAGATGGCTGACGAGGGGGGCGACAAGATGGCTGACGAGGGGGGTGACAAGATGGCTGACGAGGGGGGTGACAAGATGGCTGACGAGGGGGGTGACAAGATGGCTGACGAGGGGGGCGACAAGATGGCTGACGAGGGGGGTGACAAGATGGCTGACAAACGGGGTGACAAGATGGATGATGAGGGGGGTGACAAGATGGATGACAAGGGGGGTGACAAGATGGCTGACAAAGGGGGTGACAAGATGGCTGACAAGGGGGGTGACAAGATGGCTGACGAGGGGGGCGACAAGATGGCTGACGAGGGGGGCGACAAGATGGCTGACGAGGGGGGTGTTTGCGGAAAGGACCCGGATCACGGTTATCCGACCTCGACGCGTACCTGCTGAAGGAACGGAACGGAAGGATTTCTCTACGAATCTGGCCGCCGCCTGATGATGCCGGTTGTAATTGGTGGCGAAACGTCGTAACTCGGATTGTTAATGTAGTGGATTTGGTTTCCAACACAGCAACCGGTTAGTGCTGTACTAGTAACGAATTGAAAATGTTGTAGTGGGTTTAACTCTCCAACACACAGCAACCGGTTAGTGCTGTACTAGTAACGAATTGAAAATGTTGTAGTGGGTTTAACTCTCAAACACACAGCAACCGGTTAGTGCTGTACTAGTAACGAATTGTAAATGTCGTAGTGGGTTTAACTCTCCAACACACAGCAACCGGTTAGTGCTGCACTAGTAACGAATTGAAAATGTTGTAGTGGGTTTAACTCTCCAACACACAGCAACCGGTTAGTGCTGTACAAGTAACGAATTGTAAATGTCGTAGTGGGTTTAACTCTCCAACACACAGCAACCGGTTAGTGCTGTACTAGTAACGAATTGTAAATGTTGTAGTGGGTTTAACTCTCCAACACACAGCAACTGGTTAGTGCTGTACTAGTAACGAATTGTAAATGTCGTAGTGGGTTTAACTCTCCAACACACAGCAACTGGTTAGTGCTGTACTAGTAACGAATTGTAAATGTGGTAGTGGGTTTAACTCTCCAACATACAGCAACCAGTTAGTGCTGTACTAGTAACGAATTGTAAATGTCGTAGTGGGTTTAACTCTCCAACACACAGCAACCGGTTAGTGCTGTACTAGTAACGAATTGTAAATGTTGTAGTGGGTTTAACTCTACAACACACAGCAACCAGTTAGTGCTGTACTAGTAACGAATTGAAAATGTTGTAGTGGGTTTAACTCTCCAACACACAGCAACCGGTTAGTGCTGTACGAGTAACGAATTGTAAATGTCGTAGTGGGTTTAACTCTCCAACACACAGCAACCGGTTAGTGCTGTACTAGTAACGAATTGTAAATGTTGTAGTGGGTTTAACTCTACAACACACAGCAACCAGTTAGTGCTGTACTAGTGTAGAGAAGTTCCGACGGACGTACTCGGAGACGGAGGTATGGTTAGGGGCTTCCGCCAGGGTTTATTACTCTTGGTCAATACTACACAGGGTGCACAACTCCCAGGGGCTAGGGGTCCTACTCTGAGTCTGGGTCCCTGCCGGCTAGCTCCGGTCTCTCTCTCTCGTGTCGGATCGTGGAGTCTGCCGACTCCACCGACCGGAGAGAGAAGCACCTCTTCGGCTACCACCGGCTTCTCCCCAGACTCCCTATTTGATCCCTCTCACTATCCCTGGTTCCCTCTCTACCCCTTCCACTATCCCCGTTCCTATAGTGACCCCGCTTACGTTACGGGGTCTCCCTTATATACCCTCGGAGGGGTGATGTCACGTGCACTGCCCAGCGCGTGCGACCCCACGTCCCGTGAGGTCACCGCACCGGACAGCGCACACGACGCCACCACTCTCCACTACTCCTCTACATCACCCCCCCCTGTGAAAAAAATTCAGCCGACTCGGCTGTAAACAATATAAAAGTAGAGGAGTCCCAGAACCACAAACCAACATATTCACAACCAACCGACAACATCCAGGCAGCATGACAACAATCAATCAAATTTCAAAACTTTGAAACTCTCATCACGCGCTGCCATCAATACAAAGGCGGAATCCCGATGGCCCAGACAACACACACCAACAAACAACAATTGAACAATTGAGCAGCCCAGACAAAACACACCAAAACGGACAATTGGGCAGTCTTAGACAAAAAACGC